AATCGATATAAATGTGTTCACACAAGCACACGAAATTATAAGCCCCATAAAAAATATTCAGTCACCCAAACTAAGCATCTCAAAAAAAAAAAATTACAGCCAATTAATTTTGCCACCTTACAAATTATTCGCAGCTCGCAACAAAAGAATTCTCTCGAAACTAATTTAACCAAAAAATTACTTAAAAAATCCCCAACATTTTGCATACCACACCACTCTAATTAAAACTTAAGCATACTTTTAAAGGAGATAGTGATCATTTAAGTAACACAATGAAACCGTGTCATAATCATAAATCGTATCTCTTTTGGCGCTTCAGCTTCAAATGACTATGTGAGCTGAATATTTTATTTTAAAATGAGTTTTGAAAAAAAAAACTGAGAGTATGTACACATTCTGCACATAATAATGTGTAAAAAGCCATAATGAAATGATGGCAAATATTAATTAGCATAAAACTGCTGATGCGGGGTTATTTTAGGCAGAAGTGCTGATGTGGATTAATAATATTGCCATCATGTGGATGATAACGAATATAACCGCAACACCAATTAAGGGGTTATAGCTTTTTGCTCTTCAATCCCTCTTCAGAATGGACCATATTTGAACAACTGTCGTAGAAGTGTCTTATTATCTAAAAGATCCATCGGAAGCTGCTGAGCTTTGATTGCTGAAGTGTAATGAGCAATTAGGATGAATGATTTTTAAAGTTGAATGTCGACGACTTTTTTGTGACTGGTGCCTTTGCGTGGGGCAAATACTCTCGATCTAAATATATTTGCAAATAACACTAAATCATTATTTTCTCGTTAAGTTTCTTAATTAATGACATAGCCTTTTTTCGTGATTCTTTGTTAAATTAGTTTGGGTCTGATTTAGATTTGATTGAAGTTTGTTGAAGGTAGAACAGATTGAAATGTGGATTGTGTGGGTTATGAATTATTTTGGTGCAGTTGTTTGCAATTATTTGATGATTATCGACAAAAATTTAGACAAGGATATGAATTAAGGTGTTTGAATGTAAAATTTGATCAGTAAGCAATGTCACTATAAGTTGAGGTTAAAAACTGAAAAGTGGGGTTAGGTCACGAAAATTGAATTTTAATTAAAATTTGAGGTTAAGTTATCTCTATAGAAACTGAGGTTATGCTGTCAAATATTGAAACTAGAAAACCAAAATTTGAGGTTATTTTACCAAAAATTTGAGGTTATGTTGCCAAAAAGTTGAGGTCATGTTGCCAAAAATTTGAGGTTAAATTACGAAAAATTTGGACTAGTTTCAAAAATTTGAGGTTAAATTACGAAAAATTTGGACTCGTTTCAAAAATTTGAGGTTGTTATGTCAAATCTTCTGGTCAGTGAGATTAGGTAACCAAAAAATTGAGAATATAATACCATAAATTGAGGTTAGGTTATCAAAAAGTGAGGTAAGGTCACCAAAGAGTGAGGTTAGGTTTTTAGACATGGCTAGTCCAACTCAAAATTGTGCAAAGCTAGTAAAAGACATGTTACATTTTCTTAAATTGAAGGAAGGCCGCTCAAAATTGAAGTTTGGTCAGTAATGCTTATATTTATTTAAAATATCAAATACAAACCAACTAATTCCTTCATCCCATAAATTCTACACAAAAAAGACGCAAAAATTTTTGGCAATTCAGCTCGACATCTTTTAAAAATACTTCCAACAATAAATCACTTTTACTACACACATTAACGTCAAGTGTTTCAGCATCCAATGCTCATAAAAAGATCTCAAATTAATGTGCTTCTTGAAATTTAAAGCCACCATCAGATGACTGCATTTAATTAAAGTTCCATTTCTCAAATGTCACATGAAAATAAATACGAAAAGGAGACTCTTTGTAGTCAATGAGGAAAACAATATGTTTCCAATTGATTTCTTTAACTCACTTATCTCTTTCATATTTTCCTTATTTTATTTTCTGCACATTTGATTCTGCACGTTCATTCAATTTAAACAAGCCAAGCAAGCAGGCTGGCAAGTGAGTGAGCGAGGGAGTAAAACAAGAAAATAAGAAGACATCAAAAAGAGAGAAATGAAATTTATTCTTGTTTATATTTTTTTTCGGGTTCTTTTTTTGTGTGTTGCGAAGAGAAAAATGTCTGGAAATTCCATTTCAAAATACTTCTGCCGACTTCTTTTTAACTCAAAATATTTTGGAGCAATTCTTTTTGTTCTTCTATTTTTTTCGGTTCGGTTCTGCTGTTTTGAACATTTTTTTTTGTTGCTTAAATGAATAGGCTTTTGTGGTTGTTCTTGATACTTTTGGCATATCGATTGATTTTCTGTCAATTGGGAATTCTGTTCTTTCAATTATGTAAGCAATGATAAGGGGGAGAATTGGTGAAATGTGTCGAAAGTCATGAAGAATAGCCATTTAAAAGATCTTGCAATCTTGATTAAATCATGGCAATTAAAGAGTCTTTAAAGCAGCATTGGTTGCACAAAGGGCTGTAAAGCAACTTTAAGAGCTAAGGTCATTACAACAAGGTAACTTCTAATGCTACAAGGTCGTGATAAACAAGTAATATCATGGTTTTGTTATGATCTAAGATGCATCTAAGGGAGAAATATCATTAGTGAACCCACCGGGCCCTCTTCCCTCGATGGATGCGCCCATGAAGAAAATTATAACAACCTCAAATGATAAGAAAATGAATTTTCTAGGATTTAATATTTTTAAACTCTTTAAATGAACCAAAATCTAGAACATTCAATTCCATCGTTCCATCTCCACATACCCAATAACCCACAAAACTCAAATTCAATTTTTCACAGTCGTGCATGAAAATATGAAAGTGAAATTTAACCCGCATATTGTGTATACATACATACAAATGCAAAATGGTTGATATCATTATGGAAAATAGAAAAAGAAGCATAAGAAGATAGCAAAAAAAAATAATTCATGACTTTCAAATAGACAGAATATTTCTCAATGATGATGATGACAGTTCTGTATGAATAATGGTGATGTATGCATGCTTTAAATTAAAATAAAATGTATGTAAATGCATAACACGATGAGGTTTTTGTGTTTCATTAAAAATAATCATCTTCTCAACGAGCTGTTTACTTTTAAATATGTAGACTTGGTGCAAGTTCATTCTCTCTCATGTCATTAGCATCAACTGTTGTACTTGGCTCCCATTCAAAGAAAACAGAATCATATGGATGAATAGTGGAATAAAAAATTTATGATTATTCATCTCGTTTCTCAATTTATTTCATCACAATTCTCACATCATCTGCTGTTTTTTGCATGCACGTTTAAATCACGTTTTTCAGCGATTTACTAAACAAGATGAGAATATTTTTATTTATCTTTTTGCCTTTCGTATACAATGACGTAAGTTTTTGTGATGTTTGTTTTTTTTTTGTGTAGGGATTTCATACATTGATACGTAATTCTTTTATGAGTTAAGTGCTGTGGCTTTTTGCTCTTGTTTTGTATGCCGTCATTAACATTGCCTTTGTGGGATTAAGGTGTAGAGCGGTTGTTGACATTTTGTAAAATTTTGTAGGTGCAGTTTATGCTTTTGATGTTTTGTTTTTGAATGTTTTGTGGTTTTTGAAGCACTATTTGCTGGATTAGTGGATCTAAAATCTAGAGTTTTTCTCCTAGTTGATAGATTGGCGTTTATAATTTTTGATACATAAGATTTTTGTCTGTTTATGTAAGCTTCAGTCCACAATTAAGCAGAGCTCGAAGTCGACTCGGGTTTTTTCGAGTCGACTCGAATCGACTCGAACCCTATCAAATTCGAGCTCTGCAATTAAGTAAAGAATTATGGATTACTCAAGTGATAGGTTTCTAAAGATGTCTGGGTTACCTTACACTATCTCATATAAATTTTATTTCTGCCGCAAATTAAAATCGAACTTTAGTCCTTACTTAGGATACCTCGGGAATTTTTAGAAACAGACTTCAAGACACATCTTAATCAAAACTAGTGTCAATTTTTGAAATTTAGAGCTATTTTTCAGAATATAACTGTTGTAAATGCAATCAAGACTTCAACTTACTAATACCCAATTATTTATGACTACTAGCTTTGTTATTTTTGATTGAATCATTAAGATAACACATCTTACACGATAGATTCGTTAAATAACAAATTGTTCTATCGAGTTTTGAACCCAGGGTCCCTAAGTTAGCATTTGTAAATATTAGAAACCTTAGTCCAAAACCACTACACCATCCAACCACTTCAACTCATAATAGAACCCCTACAAATCCTCTATTACTCATTCACAATAATCACATAAAACACAAATCGGAAGCGAATAAAAAGAGAACCTCTCAAGGCAATGCGATAATGTTCAATAAATGAATAGATTTACGAATGTTTTTGAATCTGATATTTTTCATATTAAAAGTCATCATCATCATCATCTCCGATAAAGTATGTGTCAATTGAAACATGAGTCATTACTAATCGATGATTACGGATGTAATACATGGGATAGTTGAGAGATAAATAAATGGATGTGAACTTTGAGGCGTGTGTGTATGTTTGGATGTGAAAATAAAATATTCATCAGGGGGAGGCAGGATGGTAATGAAAAGTTTTTTGCGGATGGGGAGAATTTGGATGTTAGAGTGTGAAATGAGGGAAAAGGCTGATCAGTAGTTAAAAGAAGAGTTTGGCATAATCGTCAACTCACTTATGACGTCCAATTTTTTAACAGTCATTTTTCAAAAAAGATAAATGGACTTCCAAAAATTTCTATTGCTCTATTTTTGCTGAACCCCCCCCCCATTTCCTCCTGGACGTCATAAGTAAATGTCCCCCTTGCGTTTTTAATTAAAAACTTAAGAATGTTTAAAACAAATTTTGCTCAAAACCAGATTATCCCCTGCAACATGTCTAGTGTAAAATATCACAAATAATTTGTTCACTTGATCTTATTTAAGCATGCACAGCCATTCGATATTACAATTCTCATTTTTTCTCTCTTTCTCATCTCATTGCAGGCGGAAGCATAACAAGAGGAATAAAATCCGTTTATGACGACAATGAAAGGAATGACTTCTAAATTGCTCATATTTCTTACAACATGTGTGCTCGTTCTAGTACATGCTGATGTTGGTGGAAGAGGTATCAATTTTATTTTTTCTTTAAATTCTAATAATGCACGCATATGAATAATAATAACAATTTTCATCACATTTAATAAAATAATAAATTTGTGGAACTAGTAACAGACTGACGTAAACTTTTTGATTAGAGTTGCTCACATGAGCCTCGAAATGAATTTTTATTTGCTGTTTTATTAGTCATACAATTACGTAAAATTGCTAAGGATGAGATTTGCACTTACTCGTAGGTGTAAGTTTCATTTTCATGATTCAATAACTTTAAGAGCAGATCTGCGTAATCAAATTTTACTGCCGATTGAGATTTCTTTTAAGTATAAGACCTTTTTAAGCTTTTAAGTGTTATAGTCATATTGATGTCCAGCAGTTGAGATTCACTCTAATTTCTGAAAATTGATTCAGGCTTGAATTATTGAACAAAATCAATGCAGGAGTCAAGTTCATTCAGCCTTGACCATTTTCTCTTCACCAACCGGTTGATGACTTTACAAAAAACTTTTTTCTAAAAATAAACAACTTGCTCACTAAAAGAGAGATGCTGCATCGAAATAAAGATGATACACGGGATCTCGAATTTAATTTCTTGGGGATGCTGGATAATAAAAATGTCAGAAAGTAAAAAGTTTTTATATTTAGGAAAAATAAAAGTTTTTTTTGGAGTGGAAGTTCGTACTTTATGTGTTTTGGATAGTGGATCCATAGGCTTATTGAGTGTTTGAAGTTCATCCTTTTTTAAATGGAACTTTTTTTTAAATTGCTAAGATTTTTGACAGAAAAGGTTCAAAATTTGACCCGCTTTCGGAAAAGCTATGAATTCTAGCTTTAATGGATGAAGAATGTCAAATTAATTGATTTTTGATGTTTTTAAGGAACTAGGTTAATTTTTGACACAAAATATTTCAAAATTTTATCAGCAAAAAATGGAACATAAAATTGACTGAATTCTCAAAAATCATTCATACCAAAAAATTCATCATCTGAGATTCCCCAAAGACTTCTCATCAACATTACATTTCAATATTTTCGATCACATTTGAGCCTTTCCAGTTAACTGAACTTAGCTGTCTATTGAAACTTACTTGAAAAAGGTTAGATGACGATAGTTTTTAAAAAATCAAAAGTAAAAAATTTCAATTAGCATACAGATGACGAGAAGTGTCTGTTTACAAATAAGTAAAATAAATATGAGCGTTTTAAGCATTTAAATTGGGAAATACCCGAAATGCTAATTTTTTACGTCACGTTTTTTGAAATGTTAGAATTTTTTCTCGTGAAAACAAATTAATTCATTTTAATTATCTCATTTGATCTACATTTTATTTATTTTATAAGGAAAAATGAATTGATTTCTTGTTCTTACTTAAATTTATTGTCACATTAATCAACTAAATTGAATCAACTTTGTAAAACAATCAATCAAATTTTGTTTCATACCTGAATTCATATATTCTAACTTTAAGCTAGCAAAAACTTTATAACAGCCTAGTTTCTAGTGCATTCTGTCATTAAAGTTTTACAAAAACTTGAGCCCCAAATTTGATCAGATCTATTTGATCTAAACTTTTCCCTTAATTTCTTTAACAATTTAATAGTTCATTCAATATTTCGCACATAATATTATGAAGTATAATGTTTATGAATATGCATGAACAAAAAATATGAAATATTACGAAACATTTCAACGAATGTTGAGAACAGAGTTGTTAGATTTATGTCCACCATTTCTAAACCTGTTGCACGACTTGAATGAATTATGATGAATTTAACATGCTAATGGTTTCTTTAACTTTTTGACCCGGGTACTGAAATTTTTTATGAATGTTGTTTTTGTTGAGGATTTAAATTGATTTAAATTTCTTGGAGCTTTGAGGGCTTTGGAACATTTCCTTACTTATTTTACTAGCTTTATACGATCAATTCTATTGATCAATAGATTGTTTAGGATTGTAGTGCCTCCAGTTCGTCGCACTGTGTAGAAGCACATCGCTTGGCTGGAGCCAGCTCAAATTATTATTAAGATCAAATGTGTTCGATGATCAGCATTAGACGATGTCTATAGTCAGGTTGTTCGTTAAGTTTTGTTTAAAAAAATGAAAATTATCTCAATTTCAGCACTTAAAAATGGGACTACCTCAAGAAGAAATGAAAATCCGAAGACAAACAGTCTATACCTAGTTCTTTTGATGGATATTAGCTTTTTTTAATGCTAAGTGTAATAATGTCTTCTTTCATAAGTTCTCCACAACTTTTTCTTGCTTAACATTGGTCGTAGCTAGTTGTTTTAAGTGACACTTCTTCTCTTCCCTTTCTTTCCCGACGACAAAATTCTTTAATTTACTAATATTTTTTGGGGAAAAACTTCAAAAACCAGCAACTGATCTAAAATTGAAGTCGAGTAGGAAAGTGGAGCCCTGTAATTAGCAAAGGTGTTGCTTTGGTCCAATTTTTAAATCATCAAATTTTTAAGAGGTCAAAAAAATTGATTCCCTTCAAAACTTCAGTCGCATCCAACAAAGCAGCTCTGAATCAATAAAAAATAAATTTTTTAACACCAAAAATCGAGGTTCATTCAACAGAATCCAGAGCAGTTCCTTCACAAGAATTCAATTTCTAAATTTACACCAAACATTTCACATGTGTTAAATCATACAAAAGCCATTAAAATAAAAATCACTGTTTATGTGCTTAGAAGTTGTTAACCCTGCAGCAAAATTTAAAAAAAAATGTGAAATATTATTCCATAAAATTTGCAGTGCATGCAACAGACTCATTCTTTATTGTTTCTTTTTTCCCGCTTACTCATTTTACATGGAAGATATAATATTATATAGCTTAACATGTGTACGAATAAGTCATAAATGTGTTGAAAGCTTTATTCTGTTAAAAATTGGTAAAGGATGCAGATGAAAATTAAATTCAAACGAAACAGCATCAGCATGCGAAAGAGAAGCAGTTGACATAGAGAAAAAGATATTACAGTCATTTTATGCTGTTCGCTGTTCTTTGTCTAAAAAAATAATTCATATTCATGAGACAAGACAACAAAATTTAATCTCAATTAAGGAATTTTAATTTTTCCAACTCATTCTATGCTGTCAGTTCCTCGCACTTCATTTATAATTCATTAAATTTAGACGAAGTTATATAAGTTAATTAAATTATTAGTCAACTAGAGTGATGACACAAAAGTGCTGTCACATAAAGTGACATGATATATATAATTTCAATAGCTGACACACAATTTGCCGTGACGATGACAGACTCTCTTTTTTTTATCTTGTCGTGATTACAACAATAAATAAAAATAAAAAAAAGATACCAATTTTAAATTGCCCCCAACCATCATCATCATCAACAGCATCAGAAAGTATCAACGATACCACAACGAAAATTAAATTAAATGAACAATTTCTTGTCTTACTCATCATCATCTCTTTTTTTCTATTGTCTTCCCCTTCTTAATTTTCTATACTTTTTGTTTTTTTAAGGCTTTTTCCTTTCTTTTGTCGAAGAGGTTTGAATTTAAAAAAAAGTCTTTATCTTTGTGACATTTTAAAGGCATAAAAAGGAGGAAGGAAGTGTGGTGGCGTGAGCATTTTTTTTTTCGTTTGATTTGCTGAATTGAGATGAAGTTGGTTGAAATAGTTTGTACTTAAAATTCAACCAAAACTATTTACTAGACGCCTGAACCAAGAATCTCATCCTAAGTCTAACATTGTTGAGGTTTCTGTTTAGACTTGGTTTGGACTAGATATGGACTAGGTATAGACTAGGTTCGGACTAGCTTGTGACTAGATTTGGACTAGGTTCGGACTAGCTTGTGACTAGATTTGGACTAAGTTGTGACTAGGTTTCGACTAAGTTGTGACTAGGTTTCGACTAGCTTTGATTAAACTTGGTCTATCTCAGATCTAAGTGCAGTTATAGCTAAGTTTATAAGTTAAACTTGATGATTTTAATTGAAACTTTAATCCTGGAAATTAACTTTTTTGAATCCAATCAATAACAATGAACCTTAGTTGTTGTTTTGTATTTTAACCATTTGAAATGATACAAAATTATAAAACGAAAATTACTATTAATTCCTAAAGACTGACAACAGCTTGACTGTCAAGCAATGTCACTGAGAAGATTAACTAATTTAAGCTAATCTACCTAAAGAATCAGTAGAATTTATGCTCAAATTATACATGCTACAAAAATAATTATAAATTTGCTTAAAATGACATTTGAATGAACAAAAGACACAAAGCACTTAGCACTCAAAGTTATAACAAAAAGTTCTTCCAACAATTATTCAACCATAATCATAGACTGACATAGATTGACAACTTAAATCAGATTCTTTTCATGCCTCATAGTTCATAATTATTGCACATACAATCTCTACCTTGATCTCAAGGCTACAATCCTTATTGTAATTAACAATGAAAATAATTTGTGTGATTCTAATCTAAGATAAGTTCAACTAATAAACTTCCTTTGAATTACAAAAATGGAAGCACAAAGAAAACTTGCTTATAACTCGAGTTTGAAATATCTAATGCGCTTAATGCACTCAGTGGTTTTGTCGTCACTCCCATTTCTATTACACAAGCTTTATCCACACTTGGTAATCTCCTTGCTTGATCCTTTGCAACAAAAAAATTTATTTATTGTTATAATATTAATAAATGATGCTGACGATGTGATAATACAGAGAATGCTGAGTCATACATAACGAAGGAAGCAGCCAAAGAATTAAGAAATAAATTAAGCCATATTAAGAACGATGGGAATGGTGAAGAGCAACAGGACGATTATGATGAAATTTTAAAGGAGATAATCCACTCGATACAGAGTAAAGGGTCGAAAGAGCAACATCAGAAGCATCCGCAGATATTTTATGAGAAAAAATATTTTGATTATTTGCCAAATGATATTTCGGATTCTGATGATGCAACGAGTGAGGATTTAAGTCACGAGTTGGGAAAGAAAAATAATGAATATAATTCATTTGAAGACGAGCAGCATATGGCAATAACTGTGGATGATGAAGAGAAAGAAAAGCCAAAAAGTGGCAAGAGAATTGTTAAACGAGATGTGACGCAACAGGATGGAGACCATAAAGCAAGAGTGAAGCGACAAAACTTTTATTACGTTCCACTGAATCATTATAATCCTTTCCCTAGATTTCATTATTACTATCCATCCCAAGATCCTTTCTTTACCGACATTTTCAATCATTTAGCCTCTGAATCCCGTACACAATCCTTTCCAGTTGCTCCACCTCCACCTCAACCACAATTTCAGCAAGGTATTAATCCATGGACACCACAAAATAATCCCAACTTGAGATTGCATCAGCCATACAACTTCTATTTGCCTGCTGTTTCACAACCATCACCAACATATTTGCCTGCTGGACCAACAAATCGACCAAATTACAAGTATGAAGTTTGTCATTAAGCTAAACAATCATTTATATAGTTTGCTTCCTCCTAGTGTTCCATCACCTCCTGACAATCAAGGCAGTCGTCCCTCAGGTCCCTCAAATGATGAATTTGATGATCGCATTAGTGGATTTGAGTTACCTGACGATCGTCCAGTTTGGGGAACACAAAATATCATACCAAAGGGTGAATCTGGTTCAAAAGGTATGATTGGAATGAAAAAGCCTGGTAAGTAACTTTCCTGCTGCTTTTTATAGTGCCGATTTTGCATGAAATAAATCTAGTTTGGATGTTGGTTATATTTTAAATGATTGACACAGATGTGTAGCTAGAATCCGAACTAGATTAAAATATAAATTTTGCATGAATTATTTCAATATTTTCCCTTTAAGCTAATTCAAAAACAAACATTTTGGCATACAATTTACTAGATTTAATCAAAGTCTAGTTCCAAAAAGAGCATGAAAGTTATTCAGATCGTAAACTTTGACTTGAATTTTATATTTTTAAAACTGAAACCATAGACTAATTTTTAATCCCTAAATTCAGTCCAAGAAAAGCCTTTCCAAACAACACAACGACCATTTCAACAAAACCAGCCAAGACCATCACCAAATCAAATCCCATTAGATGAAATATTTTACACTCCAAATGATAAACCAGAAGTGGAATTAGAGTTTGCACCAGAGTTACAGGAAGACGGTATAAATACAATTAAGAAGCTGCAATTAATCAAGTTATTTATTTTATCGCTTTTCCTTGTGTTTCTTGTCGCATTTACAGTTACATCGACAACACGAGCATCAATAAGACGACCAACAAAAAAGAGACAAAAGAAGGATGGTTAGTATTGTAGAAATGTGAAGACTTGAGGGAAATTGTGCACTTGTTGTGTATTTTCTTTTGCATTATTTTTAATGATTTGGGAGTGGTTTGAATGTTTGTCATTGAATTGAGACGGTTTGTGAAGAAGGGTAGAATAATTATTTAAGGTGACTTGGTTTGGGAAGTCATTTATGCTTGATACTTAAGAAAATATTCATCATGTTGTAAGAAAGAGCTAGAATTGGTCATAGCTGTATGCTCAGTAGGCACAAAGCCTTAGAACCTTGAGTTTTGGTTAGGGTTAAGACTATGATTCCAGGATAAAAGCTTATTGTAAGGATAAATAAGGGTAAAATCCAGGTTGCCCTGAGCAACCAATCCACAAGGAGTCTCACTTATAATATCACTTTCATGTTACACAATATTTGAGCTTCATGACCCTTCCCAAAGTTCATTCCTGAATCCTTATTTACTACAATCGTTCAACTCGTACATTCATATGAACAGCGTATCCTAATGGGACTCGATCTTTATGTCATTTTCTTCTTCCTTTGCACCGTTCCATGTTAAATGTAACAATAAAATTACCTAACTGCCACATTTCACATTTTAGCTTCCAGCTTCCTCTAACCAAAAGCACATTCTGAGCGATGAAGGAAAAATAATAAAAAAATAAAAAAAATGTATGAAAAGGCGAAGTGATGAGAAAAGAAGAAAGAATGAAAAAGAAAATGCACTTGTCATACTGTCAACTGCATGATACAGCACAAATTTTTATTTATGATACTGATATACTAAAGAAATATGTTATGATGAAATAAAGGATTCCTTTTTATAATTTGACTTCTTTTTATTTACTAAAAAATATAAGAAAGCTTTATGGGAAAAGCTGAAGGAAGTTGTGTTTGCATGAACTGATTTTTGGTTTCTTTCTATATTTTTGAATGATTTTATTTATTACAGGGTTAGTATAACATTAGGATTTAATATAACTCTGCACTCGGCATTTTTCGCACTATTAATTTATACTGTTTTGGGTTTAGTAACTGATTCGTCCCAAACTGACAATTTAAGTCGCTATCATTTTTATTGGAGGTTCAGCTTACATCAATAGTTTAAGTTTGCATTCTGTCAAGCTCCTTAGCAGCATCCGATTACTCAATGGTAAGAATATGTGACCAAAAATTGTTAAAGCTCGAGTTCGATTCCCACTCGAGACAGAATATTACGAAGTTTAATTCTACTGTAAAATATTTAACCTTAAGACTCTGCAGCATTAAAATCAAGTAATATCTAGTAGAGCTTCAAGTAAGTCAATGAATACAATGCTTAACATTGAGTAATATTGCAAATTAAGGTTATCTTGCAAAAATTCAAAAGTAATCCAGAACAAATCCACAAAATTTGGTGTCAAAACGACTATGATGATCTTAGCAAGGAGGTAGTAGTATATGTGCCTAATCACTTCCTCATTCAGTTATGAATCTGGCTTTATCGCTGGCTACAGCGTGCCAATTACTAATCTATCGAAAGCCATAAGTTATTACTACTATGACTTTGCAATACTTTTCTGGACCTTTAACGTAAAAGAGTGTAGAATATTGAATTTTAAATTGCATATTTTAATAACTCCATTACAAATCCCGAAACTCAATTACGTCCAATCGGAAGTTTAAATACCACAGCTTACAGACTTCAAATTCAATTCAGTAGATGGAAAATTCTACACTGAGAAAAAAAAATCAATAAAATCTCTGTTGTTTTAAAAGGTTTGACCCTGAAACCTTCTTCTAGCATATTTATTCAATCAATCAACGAGGATTGAAACAACATTTATTCTGCCAATTAAAGTAACATTGATAAGAGCTCAGCAGATTGATCCCAGATTATTAACACGGAAGCAATTGACTCGAGGAAAAAAAAAGTCGATTAAATATCGTTTGATGATTGAAAATCCATTAAGATCAAAGGATTTAGAGCACGACTATGAGAATTCATCAATATGCAATCAATGAAGGAAAAAAAGATGAAATTTAAAATTAATCTCGAGTTCGTCAAAGTTCTTGAACATTAAAAAGGAATTAGAGTATTCTATGCATGCTCTATACAGCATTGGATTGAAATTAAAATTCTAAATGATGTCGAATCAATTTGCATGTTTGTCATTGCTTGATGCTGAGCTATCTTGTAGACATAATTCGTGATTTTATTTAATTTTTTGAATGGGAAATTATTAAGCAGAACAGACATTATTTTATTGTCCATAAGTTGGGTTCATTTTTGTGAATGTCCTGCATTTCAAAGGAATGGGGAGGGGACGGGGGGCGTTTTAAAAACATAGAGTCAAAAGCTAGTCACCAGACCATGTAGAAATCAGTGACTTTAAGTCTTAGCGCCAGACATGTAGAGATTTTTGACTGCTAAACCTTAGACCTCATTTTACAGTAAAATGTGTAGTCCCACTCATCATATAGATTTAGAATCCTAACTGCTAAGTCACAGAAAGGTATTCTAGTAAGTTTGAATGTCTAGGCACCTAGAAACCTTCCAAGTCTATTTTACATCTAATTTTATTATCCAGTTACTTGACTAGACATCATTTGCAAGCAACGCCTTACAACATTTTCTTCACACTTTCCAACTTAATGATTCTTAAATCTCCTAGATTTTCTCTGCATGAACATTTATTTCACATTAGTTCAATGTAAGCAATTTCAATTTTTTTTGGTCACAGCCTTTTTATCATTGACAATAGAACATCATCGTTCTGTCGTCAACAAAAGTTTGCTTAAAACATTTTCAAAATGTCTTGCTGATGCCACATCTATTATGAATAAAATTGTTATTGATCATAAGAGGATGAAAATTTCATTTTAACATTCAGTTTTGAGGCCTCTCTCGTTTTTGGATGGAATATGAAATGAGTTTATTCTTGTTTTCGTGTCTTTTAAATTATTAATCGAGGCAAAATAATGTTTTTTTTTTTGGTTGGAAAATTCGCGCGAGTCGTGTTCTCGCAGGAAATATTTTTTTTTTTGATGGTTTAAAGCTGATGGAGAGAAATAAAGTTTTATATTTAAATTATGTACACAGCTATGAGGTTTATGTATTATTTAGGTTGGAAATTCGAGTTATTGGATTTTTGGTGTCATTTTTTGACGAGTTTAAAGCTACAATCTGAGCTTGTGTCATAGGAATTTCTGGAGTATCTTTAATGAAACATCGCGTCATTTTATACTGAATTTTTAACTTTTTTTAAAGTCTGACACTTATTGAGTGGTAGCAGCAGGTAGAAGGTGTTCAAGAGTGGCAACAAGATCCAAATTAACCAAGTCATAATGTCGCAATGTGATGGCGATGTCGCAGCAACGTTTTAAAAACTTAATGTTACTCTATCTCTACGTTTATGAATTTATATGGATTATATATAAATGAAAAAGCTTTAATACTTATAGTGACATGTATGAGCATTAGTAATTCCAGTCGCTGTGTTATTATCATCAAATTATCTTGCCAGTAGTGTGACAGAGTGACAGAGCAACATTATGTCACCATCTCATCAATTTAAACCTCCTTGCAGCTCATTCCTAGTACTTTATAAACCTACATACCACCCTTGCTATGCTGAATAGTATTTCTCTCCATTTAAATAACACAAAATACAGTTACTAAAAAGCCTTTTTAACCCAAGTCATTCAAATTCAAATGAACCCACGAAAAAGCCAGCGAATATAAAATTGTATATGAATAAATTTATCATCAGAAATTCACGAAACAATAAATTGGAAAATTTCTTCCAAGGAAAAATTTCCATCGCTGTTCATCTCGGCACTTTTGCACACCAAAAAAAAAACATTCATTTTTATGATGTGAACAACTTATAAATAATTTATAATTCAAAAATTCAAATTTAGATTTGCGAACTACAACACAACAACCAACATCAACAACATTACGATATACGGATCACATAAATTCTTTATATTCGCAACAGGTAATGCCTAAAAAACCACTTCCAGCATGCGTTCAGGCAATCGTAAATTGTTGTTCTAAGTACGATGATGTTGTGAGGTTGCCATGCTTTGAGGCTCATAATTGTAATGGGGCATTTTTTGGTCGCAGTCCATGCAGTCGTGATATTAGGCAGTCAGCATTTAAAGAAGTTGAAAAATATGCAGAATGATTTATTCAGATGGATTTTTTAATTTTTTTTTATAAGAATAAAATGATGAACTTTTTGTGTAAATTTAACTGTATTTTGTATTAATTAACTTCCACGCAAAAGCGTGTAATTTCTATTTTTGGTTGGTTCTTCAGGGACAGTTTAGCTACACTAAAGGATTACACTTTAGTATACACAAGAAACTGGTTCATAACACAACAGGAAAGCATTTTAATTCAATATTTAGATAAAGATGCACAGGATTTAATTCTAAGAGCTGATCGGGAATGTTTGATGTTCAACTAACTCTTTGTCCTTAGATGTTCTATAATAAAGGATGTAATTAATATTTATCATAGTCTAGGGTAGCTTAAAAACCAACCTAAAGCACTGTCGTTTTCAAACTACCCTCAAAATTATGACCTTCTGACCATGTAGCCCAACCATTTTAATTGGTGCTTCAAACTAGAAAATATTAAATCAGTTCCCTAAGGAGAACATCTCGAGATGTTGATCATGCGATGGAAGAGTGATGGCTGCTGCAAAAACTATGCTTTACAGAGCACTACTGATCTACGAGATAATCCTATTTGTGTTGTGAGTTGCAGCCACTATTCTGAGGCATGAAAAGTTTGAAAAAATCTGTTCTAAGGACAAAATCAACTTGCTGATCAGGATCCTTACTCTCTTAAAAAACCCCCACTATTACACCACTGCAAAATATCCCAATAAAGTTGATTCAAGGCCAGCAAACTCCAACATGTGTGTAACGAAACAAAACTTTTCTACCTTAGCAATAAAATAAAGTATCCCGAAGTCAGAGTAGAAAGCAATGTCATGTGTAGCTTTTTTTTCGTTTTGTGGATATAAGATTGAAAGTTTCGTTACATCCAAGGAGATTAAGACGAGGATTAAGATTAAGCGGGATATTTGTTATGTCTTTCTTTAATTTGTTTTCTTACTTTTCGGCCTCAGATACTTTTTTTGCAGGCAAATGAAGAATTAATGAATATTTTTTCATCTCCTTCGTACGTTTCGGTTCTGCCTTTTTTTGTGGAATACTAATGAAGAAATTAGAAGATGGAAAAAATAATTCTCATTTTATTTCAGGCCAGAATAAGAATTACTTCATTTAAATAGCAAATATTATAACTATAAGGTGCGGAAAATGAGGTTTGATTAATTGGCATGCCTTGGGTTTCAGATTTTGATTAATGATGTCAAAGAGTATTCAAAAGAACATGATTCATGTCGGTTAGATTTGTATTAAGATGTTATTCTATATTTAGGTGACTTTTATAGAGTGTGGGAAATTTTAAAAAAATTAAAATAAATTGCTAGTCAAGGTAAGTAAGGTCAAAAATTGTATTTTAAAAAAAATAGTGACGTCAATCATCGATATTTTCCTCAAACTTTAATTCGAACATTGCTTGACTCTTCAAATAATACAAAAATCAAATTCAAACAACGCCTCACTCTCTATAATCACCAAACCTGATCCAAAATAAATTCTCAGTAAATTCATTACACAAATGTCGATGAAATTCACCTTTCTTTTACAGATTCACAATCGACATTTTCACACAACGGGGCGCAAATTTGAATAATTTGAAATTATTTTGTGTGTATTTTATTTATTTTGTGTTAATGCCGATGAAATAGAAAATTTTATATTGATTGATTATTTTGTTGCCCATGCGTTGCTTACAGTGTTTTATTCGATGTGCATAAAACTTATTGGATTGTAGTTTTGGCAGGATTGGAATGGATTTAAACTTGTATGGATTGTGTTGAAATATTTGGGGTTTTAGGGGGGAAGGGAGAGGCGTTTGGATAGTTTTGATGATGCTATCATCCAGATCCTCTTTCTTTTCCACTCCTTTCTTATGTCAAGCTTTCACATTGACTAAACTCAGTGATTGGTGTCAGTTTATACTAGAAATAAGGGTTTTAAGGCTCTCTAGAGTGGTCAACCTTATATTATCTTAGAGTATGTTATGATTTCCTTAAAAATCTAGCTATTTCTCTAATTTTAATGTAGCTTTAAATAGGCGATACTTCATGCGTAACTCAAAAAAGAGAAATTGATCCTAAAATTCTAATTTTTGATTTTAATCATTTCCGAACGCTTCATTTATTTTATTCCAAGAGCTTTAAGTATTTTTCCAACCTATAAATTCCTGCGAAACTACCTCAACTTGAAAAGTTAAGAATGAAAAATTCCAACACAATGTTCATCAATTCAAACTTCCAAAACCCACCCCAAAACGATTATCATCTCAATTCTCAAGAAATATTTCAAATTTATTTCCTCACAAATCACAAAAGCAGGCACCTTTACCGATCAATTCAGAGAAAAAAATCATCTCAATTTATTCTTTTTTGCAAAGTTCCAAAAGCTTTTATTGAAGTTTAGGCCTCCTGCCCCAAAAAATATTCAAGGTCTGTTCCAAGAACAAACTCAGAGAAAGAGAAAGAAATTCAATCATAAGAAAATCTCTGGAACTGAAAACATCATTTGTACCTCAATCATATTCCCCTTCAAACTTGCACTTCAACAAACTTTCTCTTTTTTTATGGGAGCCGAAACATTTCCATTTCCTCACTTTTCAATTTACTTTCTTGTGTGTCTTTTTATGGCATGTTTATCTTACCAAAACAACCACAAACTTTACGGAAATTGATTTTTTTCTTCTTTAGAATCAAAAAGAATTGAATTTTTTTCGGTAATTCTTATGCAAATGTTGTCATTGAGTTGGCACTAATCGCAAATTATTCCTGGATTATTTGTGCCAATTTTTGCATATGAAAAATTGTTTTTCATGTTAAATGTGACTGTCAATAGCACTACGTAAAGGTATGTGCACGTGGACCGAGAACTCAAATGGAATTTTTAATTTTTTGTTTGCAGAGTTGGTCTGGAATATGGGTTTGGTACATTTGCCCACTGGACACTTGCCCAATGCTATTTTTATACAGGATGTCCAGTTTCTAGTGGGCAAATATCTATATCCCGGAAAACATGCCTTGGCTTGATAAACATCAGTTTAGGATATCCTTTAGATAATTATTCTTAAGTCAATCTCGACTGGGCATGATGATCCATTGGATTCTTGATATTTCTGAGCATACACCGATACCTAACCCTACACAACACATTTCTTCGGGATACTAGAAGAAGTAGTAGATTCAGCAGAACACCAAGAACCACATAACAACTCTGACTCCTCATCTCATTCCATGCGAAATCATTTTAATCATTATATTTCCTTCCCAAGTACATAAAATTTACACGTGTAAAAAAAATTACAAAGAAACAAAAATCCAGCATTCCTTTAATTCTTTTTCTCTCTCATTCAATTCTCATTCTAAAAATGGAAACAGACGAAATTACATTTTTTTCCTATTTCTTTTCATCTCATTTTCTCAGAATTGATTTAGCGTTAAAAGCTTTATCTTCCTCACTCACTATTACAGGCAATAATTTTATTAAATGGTCATAAATTTATTTCACCAGATGTGCGCGCTTTTTTTTTCCTTTCAACTTCATTTATTTCATGCTGATTGAATTATTAGCTTAAGGGGAGGAAAAAGGCTGGCTTGAGAGGAACTCAAGTGAAAGACAATTAAGTGAGAAAATTTAATGCATTAGACACAATGTGCGAATGGCATGAAGAAGCTGATAAAGTTGGATGCAATGTTGTATGTTTTTTAATTTGAAATTGTAATTCAGAGATGATGGCAGATGATGTCGTCAAATAATGTGTTTTTATTTCCTCCTTCATCCTTTCTGTTTGAAAATGACACCTTTGATGTAGCAGAAATATCAATTTTTAATCAAATATTAAGCCCGGATTTTAAAAAAAGACTTCAATACATCCATAAAAGTTTATTTCGTCGTTAAAAAGCACAACATGAATTTGGAGCACATCATGGATTTTAATCAACAATTTCTTTACCATCCAAACCCTTTCCCACTCCCTTAACTTTAATCACATAAAAAGCGGAATTTCCTATAAAAACGTATGGAAGTGCCGTGTCTAAATATTCTAACTTCATATCAATTTTTTTAAATGAACTATTTTTCATATAAAGCTTCGAAATGGATAGAAAGTAGCTACTTTTCGTCAACATCAACATGTCACATGATATTAATTATTTATGGCAATTCTGTCTGTTGGATAGTTCATATTGTGAAAGTGGAAATGATCTAGTTGAGCAGTCATTCAAATTATGAAAAAAGGAGTATTTCATCTATTGATAAAAATTGATTTAATTAACAACTTTTTTTTCCTTCGAAGTTCTTATCTAAGTTCCATCCTTTCTTGCATTTCGTAACTCCTTAAAAAACAAAATACAAACATTTCCCAGCATCCTCAAACTAAGAAATTCTCGGGAGCAAAAAAAGCTCAGTGCAAATGAACACAAAAAAAGAAAAGCGAGGAACAAAAAAATAAAATAAAATGAGCAACAGTTTTCAGTGTCGATTGAGGTTGATTGAGGTTGAATGTGAAAACGAGAAGTAGCAAAAAAAAGCTAAATTTCCTCTGACTTTTTTTTAAATGTGTGTTTGTCATTCTCTACAGTGTTTAATAGCAAACATTGGCAACAGTTTGAGGCAATCTTTTTATCATCCTTGATAAAATATAAAAAATTTACTTTTTTCAGATGTGCGAGTGCACATGAGGGGTCGGTTGGATGTTACGGGATGGGAAAATTGGTCAACTTTTAAAATTTCAAAAATTCAGGCAACATTTCTTCATCCTAACCCTTTTTGCGTCACATAACATCTAAAACAATCCGAGAGCATGACACTAAGCATAAATTCTCATTTTCAGAAATATAAATTCTCGGAAGAACTATTAAGGTACCTTAACATTTATTTCGTTGTTACCGAAATGGAAATAAAAATTAATGTCACAATGAATGTACGTTTATGTGGATAACGATAATAAAATGAGAGACTTAAAGAACAAAACAGAACAAAATAAAAACTATCACGACTTATCTATCCTTTATTGCCACAATAATTCTCACCATATTGATTCTATCTCTACAAATCGATTCCAATTTTCTTTCACACATACACATCAGCCAGCTAATGCTACGAAGATGAGCCATTTAATGGCATTAATTCAATTACTTTAAATCCGATTGAGTTCGTTCTTGCTTCCTTTTCTCTTTGTCTGTGTTTCTTGAACTCAACGGAAACTGATTGGCACTAAAAGTTGTAAGATGGCATCGGAAAAGATGTTGCAGCTTTTGAGCTTTTGTTGGAAAAGTTTTTGGATATAAAAGTTTTTTTATTTTGCTTGAATTTTTTGTTTGAGGTTTAAAGGAGTAAGTTTTTTAGTTTTTAAATTGAGTGAGATTATGAGCTGTGGATGGGATTTTATAGAGTATATTGTCAAGAATTGTTTATAAGCTAAGATAGCTTTAAAGAGCAGTATTTAAGATCTTAAGTTGTTAAAAACCATTGTTGACTTTAGCTATTCTAAGTTCGAGTCTCAGTTGAATTATTTGATATTTTATCAAATTATGATCATATTAAATTAGGCTTATAGACTGCATATAGTTAAATATAAGTAAAATCAATTAGGAGGTAAGAATAAAGTAGCCCAGGATGTACATAGCCAACCCTACACTTATCAACATGTTTTAAACCTAAATAATTTCTTTAGAACATACAAAAAAGTCAACCCGAAAAATATGGCGCCGCTCCTGGAAAGGGGAAAGTGGGTATGTCAGCCAACTATTAACGAACTCGCTCAAAAAGACAGCTACACTAATGATTACTTAACCACAGATAACTCAATTAACCTGTCTTGATATTCAGTCTAATTACAAATCCTTCAAATCCAACCTTCTTAAAATCTTCCAAGAACATGTCAAAAAACTCTACTACAAAAGATTTACACATCCTCATTCCAGCCCTAAGCATCAATTCACCTTAAATATTTAAATTTCCTCATTCATATTATGTGTTACAATATTTTTCATATTTAAATAACGCTTGTTACCTTTTTTCCACCCCCTCCCGTGAGACTTCAACATCCTAATGACACTGAACGAATCAAAAATTAAACGATAAATTTAAACAAGAAAATTTATTTTGTTCTGTTTTGTGTCGCAATCAAGAAAGGTTGGAATTATGTTGTGTAAAAAATTTATATTTTCTGATTCTAATGATGTATGCATCATCACACATTTATTGTTGTAGTAAAATTGGGGTTGAATATTTTTTTTTTTTTTGGGGGATCATTTTGTGCTCATAATTTTGAGCTTTTCGAGGAATTATTCAAATTAAATGTTCAAAAATGTTTTAAAGCGTCTTACATGTGACGTCATTCCGAAAGAAACTTAAACTTTAGGGACGGCAATAATTCTATAGAAAATTTTTATCGCTTCCGAAAATTTTTTTGGGTGAACTCAACGAGAATAATTTTTATAGCACTAATTAATCATATTTATGTTGGTTAATTAATTAACTTGGGAACTTCCCATTCTAAATCTGTCAATTTTAATTATTTCTCGTCTGACTAAATATTCACTCAACAATCAAACTTAATTGTTTGCCTTTTTGTAGCAAATATTTATTTTTCTTTGCACTAATTTAAGTATTTAAATGAGATGAGCAAGTTAGTTGTTGGTTTATGTGTCAGGTGGAAGTGACGCTTTTTCATAAATGAGACTCAGGATAGGATAGAGTCTTAGGCTGTGTGATAAAAGAAAAAATATTTAAAGACGTCATTTACGGAAACAATATAAGCTCAAACGTAATCATCTGAGATAATTTTCTTAGGAAAGTTCATTCTCGTTTGGGGCCGTTCACTTATGACGTTGATAAAAAAACTAATTTTTAAACCCCCTTCCTTCCCCTGTCACAATGTGTCACAAATTTTTAGACCCCTCCCCCCGTAAATGTTGGACTTCATAAGTGAACGACCCCTTGCAGTAATTTTGGTTGCAGTTGGGTTGGAGACACATTAGCGATCAATAATTGCCAGATCAGGAGTATATTTAGATTCTGGAAAAGATAAAACTCTAGTGTGAAGATACATGAAACTTAAAAACTGCTAGTGTGAAGGCACCTGAACTTTAAAAATTTTTAGAGGCGCCTTAAAATCAAATTCTCCAATGTGATGTATCAAAACACTAGTGTGAAGGCACCTGAATTCCAAAATTTTAATGTGAAGGCAGCTGATTATACAAACTTTAGTGTAAAGGTTCCTGAAATTATAAATTGTAGTTAAAAGGCACCTGGACTTCAAACCTTTGAAGTGAAGGCAACTGAACTTAAACATTTATCGTAAATTAACCTCAACATCAAAACTCTAGTGTGAAGACACCTAGTTTTTAAACTGGTGCTCAGAATCTTTATTAAGCTGCGCCTGATATGCATCGAACTCACGAGCATATAATAAATCCTCATTTAATTTGCAATACATTTAAAAATCGGAAGAGTCTTTACACAAAAAAAATGCTGCACAATTTCGTCACTGATCCCACAGCATTCAGCATTTAAATACCCTTAATTGCACCACTCAAAATGAATGCACAACCATAATTATTTCCCCATCAAACTACGTTAAATACTTTAATTCCTGTCTGAGTGTTCATAACCGACGATCAATTTCATCCAGGCGAAAAAAAGAAATAATTTAAGGAAAAACCAGTCATTACATAGACATTATCGTCGTTAAGAATGACACAAGAACGAAAAAATCAATAGAATTTAATACTCACTAGCATCTGATGAACGATGTGATATTCCACGTTTTATTTCGTGCTTGCCCATATTTGTCTGTTGTGCTTGTTGCTGATCAAAACTACTCTGCGAAATTAATTGCGAAGATTCTTTTTTAATACCACTTGATGATGATGTCTGTTGCTCCTCGGATGATGTTGTTAAATTTTGTTGCTGTTGGTTCTGTTGCTGTTTATTAGTGCTGCTGCTGCTACTTGTTGTACTGTCTTCTGTCTTTTTTTCGGTTGATGATTTCGATTTACAATTGCGTCGAAATTTCGTGCGAATATTCCGAAGTGGTGGATATGACGGGTACTATCGTCCACCAATACGAACCCATCCACGATTATTCTCATTATTATTGTACCAAATACCTGTGAAAATGAGGAAGGATAATGATGATTATTAAAAATGTGATAATTAATAGTAAATTATGAGTTTATTGATTTTTATAAAAATTAATTATCATTTAATAGATTATTCAGTCAATAACAGCAATTGAATTAAACCCCAACATGTACCCAAAACAATTTATGATTTTTCAATAGAAATTCTCGATTTAATTGAAATTCTCTTGATGGTTTTGAAACAACAAAAATTGATTAAAAATTTTATTTATTTATTGCGAATGTTATTCAGCACTGTGTTTGAGTTAAACAGAATTAAACCGCAATATTTTTGGTGAAATTGTGGATTGTTCGGTCGGTAAATTTGCTTTAAATGCTTAAAGCTTAAATTTTCAATAATTTAACATTTAATTAATTTTTTCATGTTATTTTGAAGTTTATGAGTCAATCTGGGCAGTCAAACATTTAAGTTGGGTGAGCTGTATGACACTCAGTCACCCAAACTTAAGACATCATGTCTAAATCCTAAATAAACAATTCAAACTCTTCATAACTTCATTAACCATCCATCATCCCCCATCTCATCCTTCTCATCATCCAGATAATCCAGATTCTCACATAAAGTCAAACGAAACAACCTCAAATGCTACAAAAAGTCATTAAACGTAATACAATTTGATAGATTAGTACTAACAACCCCAAAGAACACAATAAACATCATAGAAAAGTCAATCTAATATTCCATTTGTTACGTTTCTAAGTGAGCTGTACAATCAATATCAATAAAGATTGAATCTTATAATTGGTTGGCCAATGAATCTTGAGAGGGTACTTGTGAAAGAGTTTGAATGAATTTTATTGGAGATTTGTTGCTGTTTGAGTTGGGAATTGTAAAAGATTGAGGGAAGGAATCAGGGGGCTTAAAAGGGGTTCTTTTGACATGATGTAAGATTTAGCTTCTAGAACTAGAGGCGATTCAGATTGTTTTGGAACTCAGGTACCAAGTTGATCAAAAACTGTTGTCTTGGCACCTTTAGAGCACCCTCAAGTCTTTTTGATGTCTTCATCTCAACACAGCAACTATATATAACACTTATTATAACTTTACATGGCCTGGAATCAAACTCAGAACTTTAACCATTAAAAGTTTGACTTAGGCTTCAAACATACATTTTATAGCTTTGATTTAAAGCTTAAAAAGGTCTTAAAATCACAAATTTAAATGAACGAATTCAAAATTGACCCCAAACAGAATTTGATCTACACTAAAATACTTCCAGCACACTATCGGTACTCAATAAATTAAAAATCAAGCAATAAACGAAGAAGACAAACAAAAAAGAGTAAAACATAAAATAAATCAATAGAATTATATAATATTTTTTTGTTTCTAGTGCACTCGACAGGAAGAAGAATCACCAAAATCCGATTGATGGGAAAAAGGAAAGAGTCTTTTATTTTTAGTCACAATCAATAACAACAAGAACAAAACACAATAAAAGTATTATATTTTTTATAGAAAAGTGATGAAAATTTACGAGTAGGTACATATGAGTGGAGGATGATAAAACTTGTGTATTTTTCTATTGTTAAGAGGCATGTGGAACAACATCTCTCTCTCCTTTCGTTCATCCACTACAATTCAATAGCAAATAGTCACAGTCTTTTCAGGGATGGATAACACAAAAGAAATATGTGTGTGCATGCAGTTTGGTTTATGTGAGTAATGTTTATTCATCTATAGAAAAAGATGATGGAAATTGCTATGCGTGTTTGTGGAAGCTGACAGCTTGAATAAAGAGAGCAATTTGATGAAAAAATGGCTATTGCAGGGTTAGGGTATGGTGCTGAGATTTTAGTGTTGTTATTTTGTATACTTTTATTAAAATGTGCTTAAATACTCTTCATAGATCACGAGTATGGTCTATATATTCTTGGAACTTTAATTGACACATCTCTAGTTAAATAAATTCAAATTAGAATATAATCGATTATACCACACCCTTTAGAGCTACAGTTTATAGTGAAATCCGAACCACTTGATAGCTCTGCATAATGCAAAGACACGAGTACGTCTATAGACCGGATGTACCATGGAATGTGCCTAGTCACATTTCGTGTGCGCAAAATGCTGCAATTAAATCATCCAGATGCTAGTATATCCTAGTTTAGCTAGCAAAGGAGACACTTTATGTGCCAAAGACCTCAAAACTACACCCAACACACGAACCGAGCTTCTATAGAATGGTGAAATGGAAAAAGTGCTTCTAAAACTTAGACTTGGCCTGGGATTGAACTCAGACCCTTTTGCACAGGAGGCCAACGCTCTCCCATTTAAGCCATTGATGTCATTTCAACACATAAGACAAAAACGAATTTAATTCATACTTTAGACTGCAGTTCTTCGATTTTCTAATCTTAAGTATTCCGAAATGCCCTTGAAACCGATATCTAGACAGAATTTTGGGGTTTCAAAACTAATGATGGGGAAACAGAGTTCCACAGAGTTAACTAGGATCTATATATTCGTGATTCTGCCAGTAAAGCTTCTGTACCCACAAGGCTTAGCAACAGATAGAAATTCTGTTTGAATTTTTGAAGTCAAAGGTTTGATTCTCAATATAGGTTGATATCTCTTCTTAATGGCCATAAACACTTCAAGGAGGATGTTGTCAATATAGGTGGCATAAGGAAGCAGCGCTATTTGGACTTAGTGGGATTTTTTAAGGACATTGGAATTCTATAGCTGAACCTAAAGGGATGGTACAACAGATCTATGATCGCAGTGCCTTTTTCGTGTATAACGAACCCTACTTCTAATTCTATCTATCTATCTTTTTTATGGCTAACGGAATAAAATGTCAATTAAAAATGTCATCAGGCATTGATGTAAAACTTTAAAGGAGTCGTCTGGTGCCACAATTTTTGCTTATTTATTACATTGAGTGCTGTCGATATGGACAATGATTCACATGATACTTTCAATTTATTGCACTCCACTATTGCATAATTTATCTGATATTTCCAAGCATCCTACACCTCCTTCACACACAATTTACATTTTAATAACAGTTACATCCTCTTCCGATTTATTAATCCGTTCATAAAAATACTTCAATTTCAAGCACATCTGCATAAAACATCGATATAAATTCTCTATAAAAAGCTCATTATTTCTATCCTTTAATATCTTCAAGTGCCTTTCCAACTAGTTCATTTTTTTCTGCACAAATTCACACCGTGCACGATAATAGACACAGAGAGCTAAGCAGAGCATGACAAGGAGCAGAAAATTTATATACAGTATATTTTTATTTCTTCTTTTTTTCCAAACAAAAGAACCAGAAAATGAGAAGAACAATAGCAACAACAACAATAATAATAGGAGCAACAGCAACAATACATGAAACTATTAGATGGAAGTTAGAAGAACAATTATTGAGCATATAATGGAGCAACAAGATAACAGATGAAAAGTTGATATTCTCACAAAAATTTATATACAGCACATACAGCACATCCGAGAGATGATGAAATAAGAGAGACTGAGAGAGATCGAGAGTAATAAAATGATAAAAAAAAAAGAAATTTAGTGAGAAACATTTTATGGGGATACGTGAATGATAGAATATTGTGTGCGCCCCAGACACGTTATATAACAGTGCCAAATGTGTCCTTGAAGGAGATGTAAGCAGTAGAAAAGAGCTTAAGTAAATCAGAAAAAATATGAAAATGAAAATTCTCGTTAAACAAAAGCGAGGCACTTTTAGGGATGAGTAGTGACATGAGAATGAAAATTAATTTTATGGGAAAATTTCAGCTCGATGAGAAAAAAAAAACTTTTATGAGAAGCACGAAAATCATTTTCAAGCATTTCCGAAAAAATTCTTTTTTGGCATTCTTATTCGTTCTATCATGCCTCTTACTCATTCCAATTTACAATCTAGAAAATCTCATTCCTTTTGTTACGATATGGAAAGCTCTTACCGCATAGAAGCAAAAAAAAAATCATCAGAGCAAATATAGGAAAAGGAAAGAAGTCAAAGTCGTGTCATATGCTAGGAGAAACCAACAACAACAACAAGTCGAAGATGTTTTCAGCATAGGAAATATGTTGTTGGCTGGACGAATAAACGAACGGATAGATAATATACTAGAACAAAGCTTATCTTATTTCTAATTTTACTTACTATTTACAAGTAAACTGTTTATTATTTTAATACTGTTCGATGTCACCGTCTTGATTGATTGATAAAGTTTATGTTTTATGAACATGTAAAAATTTCAAATATGTGTTACAATACTAGGAAGTAATTTGAATTGTATTCTTATTTTCATTCTTTAACGTGAACTAAGTTCAAAATAAGTTTTAAAGAAATAAATTAGAAACAAAATGAATTTGAAAATTACTTTAAAGCTACTTATTGGTTTGGTCTACAGCACTCAATTTTCATTACAAAAGTTAACAGCCTTTCAACAGCCAATTTTACAGAAGATCAAGAATCCAAGATTTACAACAACAATAAAGCAAATTCCGACAGTAAACCAAAATTTGTATCAATCAGCTATAATATTCGCAGATAATGTCATACAAGCTAAAGAGATAAACTCAAACTTAATGCTTAGTAATGACTATGCAAAACATCTAATATTCATAATTGTTTTCATGAATGGAGACATAAAATCATCACCATTTACAGACTTTGGTTACTTAAGCGTCAAATCAAGTGCTTTAAGCTTATACAACTATTATCTTTTCCCTAAAAATGACACCTACGTGCTGATCACTATGAACTGGTTTTCAAAATCTTTATGCAATGATCTACAAATGACAATGATTGGGAAGTTCTCCAAGATTGAGAAAAAATGGATGACTGAACTAAAATATCAAAGGAAGTTTATGAATTTTTGGAACTGCATGATCACATTGCAAACAGATTTTGATGATATTGTTGGAGTGAACTTATATTATGGAACCGTTACTGGACTTGTGCCTGAATTTCTGCGCATAATGGGAGATCGTGGTAATTTCATTCCAAATTATCAAGTACAATACCGTGATGATATTTTGGATGAAAGCACTGGCAAAATATTTAAGTCTAATATTTATATGAGACTTGGCGTCTATTCGAAATTCACAATGGGAAAAGTTCATTTTGGATCGGTTTTTATTCCATCGAATTATCCGTTCTTTGTTACACCCGGTGAGCTGTATACTTCCTACGAAAAGTTGCACAATTTTACTTTTAAAAAGTTTTATGGGTAGTGAGTGAATTGAAAGCATATCTAGAGGAACCACAGCTTCCTAATTTGGTTTTACTGAATGTGCAGTTGGATTCAGGGAGTTTTAGGATGATTATTGATGAGTATCATGAAGACAGAAGGATCTTGGCATGGTTTTAAGGGTCAACCGTGGTAAATCATCCTCAATTGACGATGAAAGTCTCTTGGTATAACTCAGATCCAAGACTTATTCGTACAAGCTTCAAAATACTCAAACATTCCCCAAAAATCAAGCTACCAGAACTTTCAATTCTCGCCTTTATACTTCTTATTGTTTCCATAGCAAGAGCAAAGAAAAAAAT